ATGTGTTTACTAAATCGAAAAGTATGTACATCTGAAACTCGGGATTGCAAAGCCAAAGGAGATGGGTGAAAAGACCAAGAGAGAGTTATAATACAAAAATCTCACATGAACAAGATATGGGGTAGTCACATATGCACACCTGAAACTTGGATCTCTGAACCAATCCAACCCAAAAAAGCAAACTGGAAGAGCAATTTAATGTGAGCCAACCACTGAGCAAGAATCTTCTAGCCATCCATGTAATGATGACAATCATGGTGGATGAGGGCAGAGACCAACTAAAGATGTGACTACGTGTTTGAATACATAAGTGTCAAATTCTGACCAAAAAGAAGGGTTAGACACAGAAAAATATCTCCATATGTGAAAGATTAAAATGGTTGAATTGGTATGTGCAAATAACTTAATCTCTATTTGTAATTTTTCTCTGTACTTTTCAATACAAGTTGACAAAACATAAAAGCCACATGTTAATAGAAACAATAACAGCGAGATCCATAGGTAATAAAGACCTCATAGTGATCCTGAGTAAAATAATCAGGAGAATGAGAATAACTAATAATGGTGCAGGAATGAAACTTCAAAAGAAGCCAAATCATAACATGCAAAGCAGAAAATTGATGATGGGCCAAAATAAGAAACTAAATGGAAGACTCCCCCTCTCAAATAATCTTTAAAAAGTGAAAAGGAAGGACGATGAGAAAGAAATCACGATTTGTTTGAATGCATTACTAATTTCAAAAATGATCCTCAACCCCAAATCATCAGAAGGTGGGAGGAATATGAGATACAAGTACGGAAATCACCCATCATGAAAGTTCAATACTGAAAATAGAGAAATTACCCAGAAGAAAAAAGAAATGAGGACAGTAGAAGTATCTTCAAGACTTTGGCTAGCACTCTATCAAATAAAACCTACTTGACAGACACTGAAGGCAAGTAGGCCAAAGTATAAAAACAAAGAAACAGCGAGTTGTATGCAAATTGAGAATTCACAAAAATGTTGTACTTACCAAGAACATCAGTACAGAATGCCATGAAAATGTAAAACTATCAATGCAGAGAATGCATATTGAATTTAACCTGTATGATATAGGGAAATTGTGTAAGTTGGGCTTCCAACAAAAGCACAGAAATTATGATAATAGCATAAATAGTTGCATCAGAAAAATATCACAAAGTGTACAGCACGAGTGTTAACAAAAAATATAACTTATGGCAGGAAAGCAGAGGTTATACAAGATCTCAACACATGCACAATAAATCAGATGGGAGAATGGAAAATTATGGGTTAGTATATGCAATATACAAGAATTTTCAGAAAGTTTGAGTCGCATGTTTTGTTGACAGCAAGAGTTCAAACACAACAAGGAAAAGCTTTCACTATTTCAGAGTAAGTCTGCCTAATTTGAGATTTTTTAAGATTTGTTTTTTTTTGTATCATCTTTCATTTAAACTGTTACAGTTGATACTTGACTCAAATGCTACAAACTTGTATCTGTTATTTTAATACCAGTATAAGTTACGTTTTTCTTTGACATTCTAATAAGATTTTGTTCATAAAACAGTTGTTCTCAAGCTTTAGAGGTAAAAATTCAATAAATAACTTGACACGTTTAAAGAGCAGCAGGAAACCATGCATATCCACACATTCTGGTTTATTTTTTATCTTTAAAAGTAAATGAATGATAAGACATGAAGACAACAACAAGGAAGCACACAGAAAATATTTACTATTTGTGCATGGAGGCATACCAATAACAAAATTTTTCAAGGAAAAGTACTTATTACAATTTAAATAGAAGACAGTTATTATTACATAATGGGCTTTATTTGTAATCTCTAAACTTTTACCTACATTTAACACTACATGTCCAGAATCATTAACAACATAAAAATAGAGCAGCATAACCCACATTCAGTTTTTCAAACTAAACTGGGCAAATAGCAACCACATCTGAAATTTACATCATAACTTCAAAGCTACTTCTACATCTTTAAGTGATTTGTGGTACTAGTTTAAGAGTATTACTGTGATGGGAAGATATAACATATGTACTCTCTCTCATTTTTCAGTAAAGTTAGTATCAGTGTTAAGTATAGCTTAACAAAGTGATGTTATCAGTTTTTAACACTAATAGTATAAATAGAAACCAATATTTAAAGCAGAGATAATTAAAATGACTCACTATCTAGTTAATGAGCCTTCAGATCCTGCAAAAATTTCATTTTAGAAATACTAACTCTTATGGCAGGAATATCAACAAGAAACGCTCATATCTTGGAGGTTTATCCATCATTGACTCTATGCACATTTACCATCAAGTACAAGATTTCCCATAATTAATTATTTAGCTTAATGTTCAAGTTGGGAAAGTATAATTGTGTCACTAATAATAAATAGCACAATTAAATGGTATTCACTAGCATTTTAGGTCTGAAGCTTTACAGATATATTTTGAGCACACCAATAGCTTCTCCAGTTACTTCAATTTGTCAAAGTAACTGATACTACCAACATTGAGGTCAATGTAGTTAATTGGAAATATATATGATGAACTGTCATGAAAATTCCTATGTATTTTATATATACCTCACAATACACACCTGTTAAGTACCTACTGTGTACTTCCTTGCAAAACATACATAATCCATGAAAAAGAAATCAAATTATGTTTCAGAATTAAATCTATGCCATCTTGTATAATCCAGTGTAAAAGTAACTAACTTGGTAGGTTCTTATAAAGTTAACTTTGACACATTTATGTGTCAATCTAAATATTACTGCTGTTAAAGGGTACTGTATACATTCACATGACAATTACAAGTACATTCAAAATTTTCACTATTACAAAATTAAACCTATACAGCTCTGATGAACCACAGTCTATGGTTAAACAATATATTGTGTAGAACAATCAATACAGACAAAAATACTTTGTAAAAACACTCAAGGATTCCGATGTGTGTAAACTTCTTAATCTGCAACAATTTTTCTTCTTGTACAAAGTTATCAAATAATGCTAAATGGTTTCTTACCACTGAATTAATAGGCTTTTATACAACAAACTTTTAAAAATTAAACTTAATGCACTGCATTATAACAACCACAAACACTCTACAGATACACTTTGTATGAAGGTAAAGAAAAAGATGGGAGTTTGAATGGGTAACACCTTACTCATTTCATAGAATTAAATTTTAATGAAGTTAGGGAAAAAAAAAATCGGGAGATAGTACGTTCCATCATATACTTGTATTTACACTGAAATAGATGGAACAAATTATAAGAGTTTATGAAGACATTTCCAATAATGACAGCGAGAAATGATGAAATGCTGTTGTCTTCACATGTGATCATCAAGATGCGAAGCATGGCTCAGACAGGGAAATGGTGAGATGAATTTACTGTGTACCCAGTCGTGAACCAGGCCTGTCATCCTTCAGTGTTCACCCTTAGTAATAACAGAGATTGAAGCTCCCTGCTTGACGTTACTGTTGAGGCTTTTGCCAGTCATGGAGCTTGTCAACTTGGGTGCAGTGCCCTGGATACTTGTGATATGCCTCCTAGACAGCATCAAGATATATATAAACAAAGTAGTTGGTTAAAAAAATCTTGACATAATGATCAATATATAAGAATATTAAATTTCTTTATTGAAGTTTACAGAAACTAAAATTGATGACTTAAAACAAAAAACAGTATTTTATGAAGAACTTAAAAATCAAGTATGATTAAACAGCACTGATTTGAAAAATATAATGTCCAAAATCTGTCTTGGCCACTCCAGAGCTATGAATTGAATCCAAATGAATCACTTAGGGACTTAATAGAATGGTACCTGTAGAAGACAAAAGATAAACCCCAAACTTTCAAGTGTTTGAGCTAACTTACAATAGAAGAGGTGATCTATTTGGATACATATGACCCATAAGGTTACAAGTGTCAAAGGTGAATATTTTTCCATTTCTTTTCACATGACATCTTTTGTAGCTAGTATAAAGTTGCTAATTCACAGCTTACATATTTGGAAGATAGAAATACATATTCATTTTCAACTTGCACAACTCTAGTTGTTATCAATAAAAGACTAAGCAGTTGATGGTCTATAGGTACGTGCATTAGGTTTCAAAACTAAATCCATTACCATAGGTCATATAGCAATCAGAATTTGATTTCAATGCCACTTATATATGTGTGGTTAAATCAATAATTTTATTTGAGGTATTCCATAGAGATAAAACCAAAACCAAATGTGCAGACTGTGAAACATGTTTTATATTTTTTTTTATGTTCCTATTTCAATAAAATTCTTTTATGAAGGAACGTAACTTCACTCTATTTTGTTTACAGATGTGCTTCTTCACATTGGTGAGGCCACTTTACTGTTCTTCAAATGAATATTTTGCCATTATTTAAATGACTTGAGAACAGCTGAAGCACAATACTTGTGGACTACCATACATATTAGCCTTTTATTTTATTACTTTATAACCCTTTGAACCATTAAAAGGTCCAATGATCTATTTATGCAAAAATTATAACTTTTCACCTTAAACCTAGGTTTGAATAGCAACCTTTTCTCTGGTAGGATTTCAATATTCTAAGGTACAAATCATATGAAAAGAACTAGTGCATTTATGCCTATAATTGTTGTTCTTGAGCACTGATTATGGTAATTTCTGGATTAAAATATTTCTTTAGTTATTTACAGTTTGGGTGTATGATACATAATGATAAAGGACATGATCTTGACAATGACCTCAATTCCATACCATTAATAATTATTTTCCTACACCTCTCCATTTCTGAATTATTCACCTGTCAATGGATTTCTGTTCAATTCTGAATAATGAGACTAAATTGCATTGCCGAGCATTAATTTACTGTTGGGGAGGTAGAAGAATGTTATAAAACTTTTGAAGTTAAAGTCAACAGTTTAGGCTTTTCTTAGCTTATATAAGCTAAGTAAGTTTCCAACTTTGGAACTTGAGAAGTCAAAATGCAAAATAGTACCAAACTTCATTCAAGGTCAGGAATAACCCAAAAGAACACCAATATCATGTTGGTATGCACCGTGCTTGGGTCCAGTTATGTTTTCCCTTGTCATTCCAAATGGGGTTGTTAAGCAAATAGTATTCACATAGGTTGTTCTTGATGCCATCCACACAAAATTCATATAACAAATATCTATTCAAAATAATATCAAAGGTATACACACTCCCTAGACAAGGTATGATGTATACTTTTAGTAAAATGCTTTATGCTAACTTCTGTATAGTGAAGACTCAATACTATGGGTTGTAATAATTAAAATCAGAACCTGTCTACTGTAAAGGTTGCTGTTAATGTATTTTAAATTAATTATTCACTTCAGTATTTTTTCCATTAAACACCAAGTTGCACATAGTTTGAATTTGAGAGCTCAAATTCCCAGGATCATAAAATTTTAAAATATTTTATTTTTGTTATCTAAACTAAGAAGTTCTTAATTTTTACATTTTAATTACTTTTGTTATGGGGTCGGCCAATGTAACCAGCCATGTAACTACAAAGTAACCATTAGTTTCCATATCATAACTTTTAATATATTTTAGGTATCTTCACAAAATTGGCAAACTTTCAGTAAACATTAAAAGTATTTTGTACACAACAAATCAGATATTTCAATTAAGTATTTTTACTAAAAGATTTGTCCATGAATATACTCCAGAATGTTGACTGCTTTAAGAACTTACAAGACCTACCGCAGCCAACCACGCCTCTCACAATACACGGACGATATAGCCCTAAGGAGCACCTCCTGGGACCCTCCACTAGAAAATTCAAACAGCCCTTGACAAAATCACACAGTGGTGCAACAAATGGAGGATAATACTTAATCCCACTAAAACTTAGGCAATCATACTCTACCTTAGATTAAACAAAAGACTCAAGCGTGTCGGAGCTAGCTAAATTAAACCTCTACAATAACACGATCTCATTCACTAAATCCGCCAAATTCCATAAACACTAAATTAACTTGGCACACTCATTTTAAGGAAATTTGCAAGAAAATTGAAACACGAATAGCTTACCTCCACAAAATCAGTCACCACGTCAACAGATGCAGACCACAAATAATCATGTACATTTAAAAAACATTCATCAGACTCTTAATAAATTATGGCGCAATGATTACATGTAACATGAATAATAACCAACAGCAGATTTTACAAAAACTGCAAAACAAAGTAGTATGTCTCGCCTACCGCCCCCCTCACTACACACCTGAGTGCTACGCTGAAAAACACACATCACTACAAACTATACAAGACCGCATTTCTAAACTCACCGCCCACCGAAATTCACTCGCAGCCAAATTTCATAAAATTGCCGCCACCCCAAACCATGGAGCAAATACCTATCCCCATATAATATGATACACAACACCACTACCAGACCTCCATGATCCACAGAACTACTTATAACATATTATATTCTTTGCATAACCATTTCACTGTCCAGTATCTTTCCAGGTCTTCAACCCGCCAATAGATCTTCACCTGGGCACTAGTCGGGCTTCTATTTGGTCCCGACTAGTGAAAGTGGGTTTTCTCAGGGTACTCCCGTTTCCCCAACATCAAACTCTTTGGCATTGGATCTACAGATCGCAGCCTTGGCACTTGGATCCACTGATCCTCGCCAGGCCCTGTAAAGGCCGGTTTGCTTCATTTTGTTTCGATAACTTGTCAAAATCGGCTGCCGGCTTGCTTCTTCTTCAAAGATCAACTGGCCTCTGCTATGCCTTGGACTTCCCTTCACTTCCACCTACTTGCCTCACCATCATACGCATATATACGGGAATATATATATATATATATACAAGTTAAG